CTTTCATATGAAGAATAGATCACAACTATGGCCCAAGATGAAGGAGGGAGGAGAGGGGGAAGGTCAGATCAAGGGAGGGTGAATGGTGTGATCACACAACTATGGTGCCAAATGCAAGGGCACATGTCGGATCTATTAGAATAGGGTATAAATGTCTTAACACAATAATTAAGTAAACGAGATGAGGTATATATTAACCAGTATGATATAAGTGTTCCTAATTCTGTATTAAATTAGCACATTGTACCCCATAAATGCATTAATGTATACATAATCTATGTGTTTATGATTTAATAAAAAATATCCTGATTTAAAACAATATGTAAATGCTGTTTTGATCACTATAACCTTGTAGTATAACCTGATGCCTGGTAATGTGATGCCTCCAGATTTATTTTTACTTCCTAGAATTGCATTGGCTGTTCAGGGTTTTTTCTGATTCCATATGGAATGAAGAGCTATTTTATCAGGTTCTTCAAAGTATGACATTAGTACTTTAATGGGGATGGCATTAAATCAGTAGATTGGTTTGGGTAGTATAGACATTTGAACAACATTATTTCTTCTCAGCCATGAGCCTGTTAACATTCTTCCATTTGTTAATGTCTTCTTGCATTTTTAAGTGGAAATACTTTCAGTTTTACTTGATTCAGTATAGTATTGGCTGTGAGTTTGTCATAGATAGCTCTTCACAGCTTAAGAAATGTCCCATCTATGCCTGTTTTCTTAAGTGTTCTTGTCAGAAAAGGATGTTGAATTTTGTTGAATGCTTTTTCTGCGTCTATTGAGAGGATCAAAACATCTTTGTTTTGTTTCTGCTTATGTGGTAAATTACATTTATGAACTTGCATATGTTGAACCAACTTTGCATCCCTAAGGTAAAGCCTTCTTCATCATGACATATAATTTTTTTAATGTGTTGCTGTATTCTGTTTGCTAGGATTTTATTGAGTATTTTTGCATTGATACTCATTAGTGAAATTTGTCTGTAGTTTTCCTTTTTCGTTGGGTCTTTCCCTGGTTTTGATATCAGGGTGATATTTGCTTCATAGAACATGCTGGGGAGAGTTCCTTTCTTCTCATTTTTGAATAGGTTCTACAGTATAAATACACATTCTTGTTTGAAGGTATTGTAGAATTGTGGTGTAAAACTGTCTGGTCCAGGATGTTTTTTTTTTTTTGTTGGAAGCTTTTTTATTGTTGCAATTCCAGTGCTTGATATTGGTCTGTTCAAGATTTCTATTTCTTCCTGGTTGAGTCTAGGGAGGTAGTGTGATTCCACGTATTGGTCCATTTCCTCCACATTTTCAAATTCTGGGCATGGAGTTTTTGTAGTAATCAGAGAAGTTTTTTTTAATCTCTGTGGTATCTGTTGTTATTTCCCCTTTTTTGTTTCTAATCAATCTAAAACGCTTCTGCACAGCTAAGGACACAACAATTAAAGCAAATAGATAGTCTTCGAAATGGCAAAAGATATTTTCATGTTCAGAATTTGACAAAGGGCTAATAACCAGAATCTACAGAAAACTTAAAACTGATTAGCAGGAAAAGAGTAAACAATCCCATTTCTTCATTGGGCAAGACACACGAACAAAACCTTCTCCCCAAAAGACAGATGAATGGCCAACAAACACATGAAAACTGCTCATTGTTCCTGAAGATCAGAGAAATGCAAATCTAAACCACCTTGAGCAATCTCCTAACCCCAGTGAGAACAGCCCACATCACAGAATCCCAAAGCTATAGATGCCAATCTGGGTATGAACACAAGGGAACAATTGTATACTGTTGGTGGGACTGGGATTGCAAACTAATATAGTCTTGTGGAAAGAAGTATGGAGAATCCTCAGAGAGCTAAAAGTAGACCTTCCATTTGATCCCTCAATCCCATTACTAGGTATTACCCAGAAGAAAAAAGTCATTTTACCATAAAGATATTTGCACTAGACTGTTTATCCCATCTCAATTCATAATCACCAAGATGTGGAATCAACCCAAGTGCCCCCCTAAATGGATAAGTAAACTATGGTATCTGTATACAATGGAATACTATTCAGCCATAAAAAGAGAGACTTTATCTTTTGTATTTACCTGGATGGATTTGGAGAATATCCTACCAAGTGAAGTATCACAAGAATGGAAAAGCAAGTATCCAGTGTACTTTAATACTAATATGAAACCAGTAGTCGAGTAACTACATGCCCACCTGAGAGAAAAACACAACTGCATTCAAGTGGGGAGGGGAGAGGAGGGAGGAGATTTGATGTGCTCTCACCTAATGGGCACAATGTAAAGGTATATGGTACACTTCCTAGGTGAAGGGCTCAACTATAACTTGGACTTTACCTAACAAACACAAACAATATAACCTAATTATTTGTACCCTTATATCAATCTGAAATTTTTAAAAAAGAATCATTTTAACTTGTTTCTTTTTAACTAAGAAAAATCTCCTTTTTTTTTTGCAGTTTTTGGCTGGGGCTGGGTTTGAACCCGCCGCCTCCGGCATATGCCTTTGAGCCACAGGTGCCACCCAGAAAAATCTCCTTTTTTATACTGAATGTTTTTCAGCTACCTTTAGTTGACTTCCTCAGACTGAGCTGTGCTAAATTGTTCAAGGACCATGTTAATTGGAAGACTCCCCTACATTTCTTGTTCCGTTGCAGGGCCCTTCTGCTTATTTCTGTCACAGCACTTGCCACAGTGTACAGATTGAAAGGCTTTGTTTATGGGACTGTCTCCCATTGTTAGATTTGAAGGGTAGGCCTTTTTGTATTGCAGGCACCCAGCATCGTATCAAGTAAATAACAGATGCTCAAAAATGTTGTTGGCTGAGACTGGGCACAGTGGCTCACATATGTCATCCTAGCACTCTGGGAGGCCAAGGCGAGTGGATTGCTTGAGCTCAGGAGTTGGAGACTAGCCTGAGCAAGAACAAGACCCTGTCTCTAATAATAGCCAGGCGTTGTGGCAGGTGCCTATAGTCTAGCTACTTGGGAAGCTGAGGCAAGAGAATTGCTTGAACCCAAAAGTTTGATGTTGCTGTGCACTATACTGAGGGCAACAAAGTGAGACTCTGTCTCAAAAAAAAAAAAAAAAAAAAAAATGTTATTGGCCTGAACTGTTTACCTGTGGTGAGCAGATTCTTCTTTCTCTCCCAAGCAGCCAAAATATTTCAAGCATGGACCCTGAGCCAGGTACTCTGTTAGATATTGAGAATACAGAGCTAAGCTCCCTACATGGAGCTTATGGGCTATATACAGAAGAAACATGGTTTTCACACCCTTGGGAACTGTTGCGAGTGAGCTATATGTATTTATAGTGGTGCTGACCCTGCAAAAACTCCCTTTTCTATGATGGATATTAATTATGTGTACGTATTCAGCTATTTTCATTACTCAAAACAAAAATGAAAACACTTTCTAGTCTTCCTCAAAACTATTAAATTTTTTTTAAAGTCTTCTTTCTTTTTGAATACAGCTATTGATGGCTTGCCTCTAAAAATAGAAAATTTAGATCGCAGCTACTAAGAAAAGAAGCGTCAGCATTTAAGACCGTGATCTACACATAGTTTTCTGGTGTTGTTTTTTAAAACCCAAAAGAAAAATTTATGATTAAAATAATAAACCCTTCATGCCTGCTTCCTATGTTCTTTTTCTTTTCAGCTTATAAATACATTTAATCCCATGGATGTAGGTTTCTATGTGACCCTCCTTTTGTGTGTTGCAAGTGCACTCACTATTGCCGTATAAGCATAGGCTTTTCCTAGTAGGTAACTTGGGCAGGATCTGTCCCCAGAACCAGGCACAAAGAGAGTCCAAGTCCAGAGCACTGCACTGGCTCTGTTCCAAAATTCATTGCATTTAAAGAGTTTATGACTTTGGGGAGTAATACCAAAAGTCATCTATGGATATGTATTTCAAAGATACGTTGTAACACCCCCACCTGGAGACTCTGATACTAGGGATAAGCTAAGGCTCTAGTATTGATAATAGTTTAAGTAACTCCACTGACCTAGGAAAAAGCTGCTTCTACGTAGTCATTGAAGTATAAAAAGTTAGTAAGTTGCTTGTGCCCACAGTACTCACACTGCTTAAAGAGAATATGGCTTTCTGATTTCCTAAATTGAGTTTCAGAGTTACTTGAGATAATGCTGTTTCTATCATATTCACTGTTGTCACTGCCTAAAACATTCTTCCCCTAGATATTTCCATAGTTATATCTTTTGTTTATTGTCCTTATGCAGCCTCTGAAATATAAGCTTGATCTGGGTGGGCCTTTTTGACTGTTGTGTTTGACGATTCATCACAAGCTTCTGTAACAGTTCCTGAATGTTGATAGTCAGTAAATACTTACTAAATAACTATTAGTGCAGTTACTCAAGTACATTATTGGCTGAAAAGATTTCTTGAACTGCCCTGGAAACCTAACCTCTTTTCATCTGTAGCATTTTTTGATAAGAGAACATCACCAGTGCCAGGAAACATATGCAAGTGAAAATGTACAACACAACCACTCAGAGGAGTTGGTTGGTTCTTGATGGACTATACCTTTCTTTCCAACAGGATGTGAAATGGTCTGACTTTGGGTTTCCTGGAAGAAATGGACGGGAAAGTACCTTGTGGATTGGCTCCTTGGGGTCCCATACACCCTGCCATCTGGACTCCTATGGCTGCAACTTAGTGTTCCAGGTACAAGGAAGGTAATGTGAGCGGGAGTGGGGTGGAGAGGACAGGGAGAGGAGTGAGCACTGAGTGGGCAGCAAGACCCAAGACCTGGTCCCAGCCCCACCCTGTCAGCCTGCCTCATGACCAGAACACACTTCTTCACCTCTAGTTCTGGTTCCTCCTTTGTGAAGTGAGGAGAACAGCTGAAGTGGTGGTTTCCTTACGAGTCTGTCAGCCAGGATGAGAATTATCTTCAGAGAGCTGATCCTAGAACTCTGGGATTTCACCTTCATTTTAGCTTGCCAAGTTCTCTGCTTAGTTTTTTGTTTGTTTGTTTTACATTAGAGTACACATTCGTAAGTTTTTCAAACATTTCTTTAAAGCAGGAACAGGCTTTCTTCAAATCTAAATAGACACAGAGCAGTGTGTTGAAGGGAAGACGCTTTGCTATTATCCTTATGCCCCTGAGGGGATGGCGGGGAGCCAGGCTTGAAAAATACTGGATCCTTCAACTCTAAATTTTACTTGGTGTCTACCTGTAGACACAATACAATATATTGTTACTGTAGGCCAGTTTTTAATCTCCATCTGTCTGTAGATGGTAGGAGATATAAGGGCTCAGTCAGGTAATGCTTTTGATATACCTGGTTTCTGAACTTCGTAAGAGAATCTTAAGGTTTTATGCCACTTGGAGGGTGTAGTCAGATGTGTGTGTAGTCTTATTATCCCCTAATTCATGATGCCCCAGTCTTCTCTGCTGGCAGTTTGAGCTATTTATAGGGCAGTACAGAGGGAAAAGCAGAAATGGCAAAGTGCAAGTTCTCAGATCAGTTAAACATGTACAAGGATTGTGAGTGGATTCGACAGAAACAATACGTCTGTGAATACATTTTGAATACATTCTTCACATCTGAAGAAAATTATAGAATAGTAAAAATATATTCATCTAGTCTTTATTAAAGGGCCTAGAATGTCTCAGGTACCTTGCTACATACTGTGAATGCAACAGTGAATCAAATGTACGTGGTCTCTGCCCTTGCAGAGTTGTTAGTGTGATAATAAGTTGTTGAGAGGGGCATCATTTTAAATAGCTGCTTTCTGTGGGTACTGAATTGGGAAACAAGCCAATGAAATTCAAGTTGGAAAAATATTTTTTAAAAAACACTTGAGTTTTGGCTTGGCACCCATAGCACACTGGTTACGGCACCAGCCACATATACTGAGGCTGGTGGGTTCGAATATGGGCCTGAGCCAGCTAAACAACAATGACAACTGCAACAAAAAATGGCCAGGCATTGCAGCAGGAGCCTGTAGTCCCAGCTACTTGGGAGGCTGAGGCAAGAGAATCACTTGAGCCTAGGAGTTGGAAGTTGCTGTGAGCTGTGACGCCATAGCACATTACTGAGGGTGACATAATGAGACTCTGTCTCAAAAAAACCCCAAACAAACAAACAAAAAAAAACTTGAGTTTTTTATGTGATATAAAAATTAAAATAGTTTTTGTTTTTAACTTTGTAATTGAACATAGCTTCTGTCCTCATTTAGCTCTGGAACAATAAAATAACTTCAGTAAATAATTATCCATTGAGTGTCCTTCCTTGTAGGTACCATAACATTATAGTAGGTACAGTGATGAGGGAGTAAGACACCTTGTCTAACCTGAAAGATCTTAAAGGTAGAGTGCAGGCAAGCCCACCAATAGCTGTGATATAAGGCAGAATGTACATGCCTTATATGTACAGGGGTGTCCAACCTGCAACCTACAGGCAATATGGACCTTTTTTTGGCTCATCAGCTTTCATTAGTGTTTGTGTATTTAACGTACGGCCCAAAACAACTTATCTTCTTCCAGTGTGCAGCAGAAAAGAAAAATAGTTGGACACTCCTGGAGGAATATTTCACAGAACTCTGAAACTGAAAAATACAAGAGATAGTATTATATGAAAACAGCACACTGTACCCCATGGTTGCATTAATGTACACAGTTATGCTATAAGAAATAAAAATAAATAAAAATTTAAAAAAAAGAAGAGATGGTATTCCTGCTGGGAAGATGAGAAAAGATTTCATAGAGAAGCTGCCATTTGTGATGGACTTTAAAGGATGGATACGTGTTCAAAGACACAGACAGATAGGAGGGACAGAGGGATCTGGGAGAGCGTGAGGTGTACACATATAGCACCCTGTGAGCTGTCCTACTAGTTTGCACTGGAGATGGGAATTGGACTAGAAAGGCAGGTTAGAGCCTGAAGGTGTTGACAATCAGACAGACACTGCTCAGTCTCTATTTTTTCAGCATGCAGAACCATGAAAGCTTTTATTAAGCAGGGGATGACATGGTAATTGAATGTCCTTTCTGAAAGAAGGATGTACATGTTATATTTTAAGCCAAGCAAAGCAGATTTGATGGATGGTTATCATTATGGCTGTTCCTTTGGGAAATACTGCTATGGTACACAGGAAACATTTGGGATCTGGAGAATTCGGAAGATCTGTGACCTACTTCTGGGTCTGCCAAGAACTACTAGCCTAGTGAGTGACACAGCATAATGGGTCTCTCTGCCACTATTTTGAAAGGGAAATTAGATGGACCATCACTTCAGAGTCCTTCCAGCTCTAACATTCCAAGTATACTCAATGCGGAAAACTGCTTCCACACTTGTCATAGGTACAATGGGATGGAACAGTTTTATCATTTCAGAGCTTTGAGATTGAGGCAAATAGGTTGTAAACTTAAGTGGTTTTTAAGCTGATAGCTATGAAAATTGATAGGCTGCCTCAGAGCTCCAAAATGACTTTCTGAAAAGTAAAGCATTTCATTGTATCTGTAAAACCTTCAAATTTCCAAAGTAAAATAAGACTATAGTATATACTTCTTAGTTTGAAAACCACAGCTACTGCTTCCCAATTATGCAAGGTCTCCATAGCCCCAAAGTAACAGTACCAAGGGGTGGAGGTCTTTAGAGGACTTGGAGTCACTACAGGACTTTAGGGCTTCTGTTTTTAGATCTAGATTTTCCCTTTTTCTCTCTGCTTCCCCATCTATGTATTTCTGTCTGTTTCTTCGTTTTTGTCTGTCTTTGTTTCCTCTTTCCTCATACTTCTCCCCTTTTTGCCTCTAGTGTCTTCCCTCTGTTGGCATAAAGTGTGGGTATGTCTAGTGTTTTGTGAGTTAAGTTTTATTGCCACCATTTTTCAAAAATGTTTTAAGTGAAACATTGTAGAATTTTCTGTTTTGAAAATTCCTGTGTTATACTACTACTTTTTAGTTATGTGACATTATTTGTGCATGTCTCTTCTATAAGGGGTTAACTTAACAAATGTTTAACATAAGGAATTTGTAGCCAAAACTAGAAGTCTGGAAACATTTGGTAGATGGAGCTTTGGGCATTTGCACTGGATAAAATAAGAAAACAGATATTTGGAAGTGGGGCTATTCTAGGTAGTTCTACAATTAGGGATAGAAATGATTTATGAAGAGGCAGATTTTGATTTGTAAGGAGAGGGATCTTACAAACTAGATCCTGTCCCATCAACACAAGGGGCTGCTGCAGAGGGTCATGAGATACCAGTTGCTATGCTACCTTCCACCCAGTGTCTGCAGAAGGGGTTCTAACCTTAAATTAAGGACAGGCCAGGTGACCTATATTCCTTTAGGATTGAATTTAGATTAGTAAAAATCAACTCTTAGCTAGTACATTCTTATGTGTATTGCCTCAAGTTCCGAGTACTAACTTAATCTTATTTTTTTAATTAGGAAAAGATGGCATCTCTTTCCTCCTGAAGATACTCCTTTGCTTTATCCAACTAGAATCCCTTATGAAGAATCTAGTGTGTTCAGTAAAATCAATGTTGTCAACCCTGATTTAAAGCGTTTTCCTGAGTTCCGGAAAGCTCAAAGACATACAGTTACACTGAGCCCAGGCCAGGTAATGGGGCTTTAAAACATTAATGAGCTGTCACTGGATGCCACAGTGAAACTCTCTCAAGTCTTTGTGTCTTTGTGCTGTGTGCTCCCTCTGCTCTGCTATTGGAAGGCAGCTTCATAAGCTACTAACTTGGAACATAGACATCTCTGCTTCACAGGTCCTGGAAGGAGGTGGGAGGAGGGAACACAGCTCCTCCTGTTGGTAAAAAGGAGAATGGACTTTGGAGGAAGACAGGTGCCTACAAAAGCATTTTCATTTAGGTTAAGAGAAAATGTTCAAGGCATGAGTATCTCTGGAATGTTTATTCATAGTTAATACCTGTTCAACTATGAAAGAACCAAACCCATACACATAAACGCAGGTCAGAGTGCATCCAGGTAATATGCCAACAGAGGAATAAGGAACCGAGAATTATTTACTTTTAAACAAAAATGGATTTTGCTTTCATAAATAACTCTGAAACATTCCCAAAGGTGTTATACTAAGTGGGGAAAATTCTTTTTGCAACATTGGCACTTGTCGGATATTTATTAATAATTTGAAAGATTTTCTTATGTCTTAAGTAGACTTTATTCTCTAGATTATCCTTCTCTGCCTGTCTTCCTTCTATTGTCCCTTTTCACTGGCTCTTTTCTTACTTTCTTCACACTCTTATACTTACAACTCAGTTTCACCTGAGCAAGTTACCTTAACCCATTAGTGGTCACCACACATTTACCTTGCTCCTCAACCCCTGACAACCACTAATCTATCTTCTATTTCTATAGATTTGCCTATTCTAGACATTTCCCATAAGTGCATCATTATAAAACATCACCTTTTATATTTGATTTCTTTCATATAGCATAATGTTTTCAAGGGTCATCCTT